GAAGGGGTGGGGAGGGGGTAGTGTTTCCCGAAAGCCCGTCTTCATCCTCGCACGCCATTCTCACGGTTGATACAACAGCAAACGCGCAGCAGAGCGCACGTATTCGTATCCACCCAGAACTGAGAGACAGGAGGAGGCAGGAGATGAGGACAGCCGCGTTTAGCTACGGTTAGGCGTTTGGCTGGCCGTGCGGCAGCCAGGACAGAGCATGGAGACGACACCTCCGTATCACTACCCTTCACCTTCGTTCCCATCACTTTTTGCCGACAATAGTGGCACGCTGCTGCAGTCGGGATCACCTCGCACATAAGAGAGATCAGGAACTTATTATTAGTTGCAGAAGCAGTCTCCACGAAAAAGAGTGCAGTATGTATTCGAGCAGAAACTAAAAGATCAACTTGTTCAAAGAGCACACCCCTCCAATCTGTAATTTTTCAAACTAAGTGAACATATTGCCTACCATTATTATACACCTTGGTCCACCTGTTTTTACAGTATCGTGAGAAAAATGATATTGCAGTTGCGAACGCTCAGTGACGCGATGATGGACACACTCCTTCTGATGTGGAGTTCGGCTGGTGGAGTTAACGGACAGAGATTTAATCCTGAATGTCAGAAAATCCGCCAGGCTGTTTTGGATGTCATAACCCCTACTTTGTTCCACGAGGTGAGTGTTCTCTTTTTGCTCATTTCCTCGGCTTCCTCCTTTTTCTTTTGGTAAGAGGGCAGCCCATCAGGTACCGGTAACCAAGCTCGCTCGCTAATTATTGTAATTCAAGAAGACCCTGACGGCACTCATTCGTCACATGCTGTCTCGCGGACGTAAAAGACCTCATCTGTTTGCTGCCACCCTCAGTCTCATGCTGAATCTTGCTCCGTGGGCTCCGCCACTAGCGATCACAAAAAGTGAAGTGGTAAGTGCTAAAAGCTTTCTTGCGAAGATCATTTCTCATTTGGGGTTTTCAGCCGTCGTGGAAGGATGTGGTTATTGGGCATCGCCAGCGTGTGAACAGATTCGTCCATGCCTTTTTCGCTTGTGAGGAAAGATATGACTTTGCCGAGGTTTGTTAAGCATATCGTTATAGTCTATCGACTCATTTGGAGCATCATAAACAATCCTACGCTGATAATAAGGGAATCGCTTGCTTTGAATCCATCCGTTCAACTTCTAGTTTTCGTATGGAGAAGCCTGAGTAGTTCATTTCTTTCAGATTCTCCTTTCATCATCCCCATACATTGCTGAATTGTCGTTGAAGTTCGTCGATCGGATGTGTCGCCTTGATCGGAGACTTGCTCAAGATCTGGCAGGGTTCGTTGCAAGAGTTTAATAGAATTCGGAGTCTTTAAAGGCAGTGGCACGATAAATCCTCCAAGACGAGCAGGACTAATACGCCTGGCAGGACGGAATTCCGCGACCCTGAGCAGGCGCTGCATAATGCCTTTTTCCAGGGAAGGTGCCCTTATATAAACGGCGCCCTATCAAGCCAACTTTACGTCCCAAACGCCCGCCACGCCCGCCCGCCCACAAATGGACGACCGTTCCTGACGCTCTAATCGATTCATTTGCTAAGCAAATTATGAAGCGAAGGGATTGGTATGAAGCGGCCGTGATGCTGCATGGATATATGGGTACACATATGCAGCCGTACCTTCGGTAGCGGTTATTGGCAAGATGCCTACGGGAAACTCGTCCAAAATTGATTACTAACACAGTGAGAACGGAGGCTTTTTCTTCGCAGGATTTTGACCGTTTCACTCCGTTCTTTCGCCATTTCCCCACTATATAGCGCCCTACTAGCATTTTAGGCCGAGCACCAAATCATCGTGCCAACTGCCTTTAAGTAATAATGGTCGGTTCCTAGTGGGTTTTTTTGGAGGCGAAGTGATTTTTATTTTACTGACGTAAATTAGTAACTCCCCTCTCAGGTCTTTGAACAGTACTTGTAGAAGGCGTAGAAGTGGATACAGCGGGATGTGTTCAAAGGTTGGGCCTAGCGGAGACCGCGCTTTGGCATTGCCACCAAGGCTGCGTTCATACTTTACGGCAGCGTCACTAGCGTCCAGCAGCGTCAGCGACTGGGGAACGATAGATGTCGATCTATCATCTGCCAGCGTCTACCGGCGTGTCCCGTCGTTCGATAGCGTCTACCAGCGTCCCGATGGCCTGCGAAGCTCGATCTAACGTCTGCCAGCGTGCACCAGCATTTACTGGCGTCCGGAGAGGAGAGTATGGCGCGATAGGAAGGTAGCAGACAGTTGGTTACCCTTCTGTCGCACGCACCATGCTCTAGCAGCTGTCTGTTA